AAAAAAAAAAGAAACATAAGAAACAGTTATAAATATTACTTTCATATAATGACCTAATTTTAAATCAGATATAAGAAATAATGCTTGAGATTGAGTAATATATCCATATGTTTTAAATGTAACATTTGCTAATGGATCACCAGGCCTCGCTACACCAATTATGAATTCAGTAATAACATTAAGTCCTTAAGAGAGATTTGTTTACTAAATAGAAAATAATATTTGTTTTGTTCCTACCAATCGATTGATTTGTTACAGCTTGAACGATTCCCGTCGGTAAAAGAAAAAAAAATGCAATAGCAACAGCAACTATATAAAATTATTAAAGTAAATCTTATGTTCAATATATATAAACTTACGAAAAAGATAATACCATGGCATTAATTCACCATAATGACAAACAATTGCCGCTAAAATAAATGCCACAGCAAACACAATAGTATACCTAATAGATATTCAATAAATCATATTTCATAAATAATCTAAAAATACATACCACCATTCTGGTGCTTCTTTATAATGAGACATAAGTTTAGCGTGAATATCTCCAGCATTATCTTTTAAAGATGATCGAAATTGTTTTAGAATCGTTTTACCTGTTTTTTATTTGTTTTTCATAATATATCAAAGATCATATTCATATTATTCATTTAAATATATCCTTACCATGATATAGTATGGTATGAACAATAACTGCAGCAATTCCAGCAAACGATATACCATAAGAAAAAGCAAACATTGGTGTCATTCGAAGTTCACCTAAAAAGAAACATATATATATATAGCTGATAGCGCGCAAGTCTGGACACAATTTTTCGTAATTCAGATTTTCTTTCAGGAGTAAGATTGAACAACTATCAAATAAATTTTGTGAAGAAGTTCAAGACTGTGTCTGTACGAAGCATAGTAACGGTATTGGCGCAGTCCTTAGTTTGTGTCTTCGAACAACTTCAAATCAACACTATTATAGAGTATTGAATTCTGTACAAAATGAGACGAAATCTCATCTATGCGTTTCCATCAAACAGCTACTTTCCATGAAAATCTGCATTGGTAAAAAAAAATCGCTCTTTCAAAAATTGCTTTTAAAATTGCTCATGCAAAATAAAATAGAACACGTTGTAGAACAAACTAAATCATTGAAAAATTATTTTCACATTTTGTATTTGATGAGTTTCAATCGAAATACAAAATTGATCAAAATAGTATTCTCTACAACCATTACTAATTTGAGCCTTTTAAGACAATCTGATGATAGTTGTTCAATTTTACTTCAGAAAGAAGTTCTAAACATATATGCGCAAAGAGTAAAAAAATATCTACTGCCCTATGAGATATATCATACACCTAATTCATAGTAACATACCATATTGTTTATAGGCAGTTTCATTTAAACGAAGATTTGAATTGAGTACAGCAGAAACATTATAAAAATCTCCATCTTCAGTAAATACTCGAACACTAACAATTGGTAAAGCTTTTGAATTCCATAGATTGTTATAATATGCAATTGGTGTTATTATCCATGCTAAGACAACAAAACCAACAAGAATATTAACTTGAGCCCTAGATGGAATAATTAAATATGAATATAATATGAAATATTTTTATTTTTTATTTTTACCAAAATGGTACAACAATAGGTGAACCAAGAAATGATACCCATGCATTCCAATCTAATTCAATTGAACCAATTCCTAATCCATAAATACCAGTAATTTGAGAAAGAAGAATATTATCAGGTTTAATCATACAAATCCAAGAAAAAACTGATAAAACTGGAAATATATAACCAGGAAACCAATACCATAAAAATTGAAAAAGAAATCCTAAACAGAAAAATTTTAAACGAGACATTGTCCAACGTGATCTTTCATTATCATCTTCAGTATCTTTATCATTATGTAAAGTTTGAAAAAGTGCACAATAAACAAGATTTGCTGGCCAAATCATAGATGCTGGCCAAACAAGAAATTTTCTCATTATACCAGCCATTCCATATCCTATAATTTGTGATGTTATAACAAAAATAACGCCAATACCAAAATTTACTGTTCGTTTATAAAATAATTGTTGAATAGTAATTACATCAATTGCATAAGCGATACCCTATGTAAATTAAAGAAAAAAAATTTCATTGTTTTTTTTTCTTCATATATATATATGAACAACTCACAGTTGCAGTAGTAGCCATTGTTGTTATAATACAATGTTCTTTAACAGTAAATGGACCTGGATTAAATGTAAAATTCCATCGAAAAATTTTAAATTTTCTACGTGGTAATATTTTTGCCATAAGTTTACCAAGTGGATGTGAAAGTAATTGAGCAACAAGAGCACCAACACTTAATGGTGATGTTCTATAGAAAAAAAATTGATTAACAAATGAAAGAATACAAGTAAATATTAATCCAAGAAACCATGAACGAAATGTTAAAACTGACATATTTGGATCATCTGTATTCGAAACATTTGCAGCTACTTCTTCATAAGATGATTGTTCATTTTGATTATTATTATTATTATTATCATCATTTGATGGTAAAGAATCATCGGATGGATTAATTTCAACTGCTGAACTATCTTTACGAAATGATACTTGTAATTTATTTTTACGTTTTCCATATTTTTTAAATTGTTTTATATTAACATTAATATCATCTGTTAAAAATACTGGATTATCTTGACCATGTATATTTTGATCATGTATTGAATTTTCATTTTCTATGTCTTGATATTCTGGTGGAGGAGTATTTGACATTATTAATAAGAATCAATCATTTATAGTCTACGAATAAAATAGTGTATTATATTTTATTGATATGCATCAGTAAATATTTTTCGATGTTATCATAATAAAAAAACTAATGAAACAATTTTTATGTCACCTCTATTTATCACAAGTAGAACTTACCGAGGGTGGTCACATACACAATTTAATAATTTATACTAGAGTCATGCGGAACAAACTTTTTTATGTCTCGAATCTCGACTTGTCCCGTTGACTGAAAGACACCAAGCTTATTGATTTTCACTCGCTTAGTCCCTTATTTCGAAATGAGACAAAGTTTACTGAAATTGTGATGAGTGCATATTTGAAATCTTTTTCTTTTTTAAAATTCGATTTTGTTCGGAGATTAAAAAAATATTGAAAATAATAATTAACAGTTGAGAGTTTCCTTATATGGTCATACATAACTCAATCTGAAAAAGTCTATTGATACTTCAGATGCTATATGCAATAGATTCCTTATCGGACAATAGTTGATTCAGATTCATTATCTCTTAACTTGTCAGCTGAGTCAAGATAGCTGAATGCGACTGAAATTCATTAAAATTTTCTCTACGAATGTCTAAGATTTAGAAATAGCAAATGTTCTATAGGACCGCCTTCTGACATTGTTCAGTTTTGTGTAGTCAAGTGTTCTATCTATTCGAACTTTTCTCGAATGGTAGTCTAGTTCTTTTTTCTATTATTTATTTAAATATTAAGATATTTATTAGAAACAAAAAAAATTTAAAGTATACGATACATTTCGATATAAAGATTTAAAAAATTCGATTGCCTTGCGGAAGGGAACAAACGAAATTTTTCAGAATTCTAGTTTATACTATAAAAGTAACAGAGAATTATAACTTGATTATCATAAAATCATCATCAAGATTGTTTGAGAAATGTATAGGGTGTCTTAGTAGCAGAATGCGAATAATTGTTAAAAAGTATCTCGCATCTTCAGAGCGACTGTCAAGGTCAGACAAAAATAGTTTGATCAACTGAGCCCTTCGAGTCCGAAATTTTTCGATCTGACAAGAAAACTTCAATCTATGGAAGAGAATTTACAGTTACACAATTATTCAAAGCAAAGCGAAAACTACGAAGTTCAAATTTTATGATTACCAAAGCAGCATCAATAGTCTCTCAAAAAAATATTCTGCAATTGTTCTTCGTAATCTTTCATATGTCAAGGATTCTACCTATTCCAGATCAATACTACTTTTTGTTTACTGATACAATGCAAGATTGAGCTAATGAATCGAATTCACCATTGGATATACCTTTGAAACAGCCTAGTGTGTCATCGTAACAAAATCATTATAACGTGAAAGAACCTTCAACACTTAACCTGACGCTGCTTGAGAAGATTTACTTCTTTTCTTGCTTAAATTATTTGTAATGATGGGGCCGTCCCCCTTTAGGACCATTTGAATCAGAGAGTGTAACATAGCAATAAAAAAAAAATAATTAATATATTTCACTCACTATAATTAACACTATTTTAAAAGACGACAGTTTTTACCAAGTAGAAACGATGACTCATTGTATGCATCCATAACATATTTCGCATCTTGATTGTTTTTTTTATATAACTGTGGCCTATTTCTCATATTTTTCTTGTTTGAATATTTATTTATACATATAGTGACTATTATATGTCAATAAGAACTTAATTAATTTTTCATATTTACGTAGGTATCAAAGAAATGAAGATTGATTTATAAATTGAATATTCATAAGCGACGACATTGAATATGATGACTGTCAAGTGAGATGGTTGGAAAAATTTATTCTTACTTGGAAATATTGGGACAACATATTAACGATAAACCTTTGTCAAAGTAATCTTTACATCATACTAGGAATACAAAGGAATATGGGGGGAGAAGTCGACAAAAAAGAAAACGATGATATTGATATCAATATAGAAGAAGACAATAACATTATATAACTTTCATTAAATACAAATTAATAGGAACAATGCTTCTTAACTTCGTTCAACCTTTTCACAAATCCAGTTCCATGATCTATTAGTCATAGTGTATACCATTACATAGTCTATAGTATTCTCTAGGAAATATCCAAGTATGATGATCAAATAATAAAAATTTGTTTAAAAAACTATTCCTTAATCTAAATTCGAGACCAAAGGATTAATTTGCGTATCCTACCTATTCACAAAGGACAGAAGGTCTGTCAATAGAATGTGAAAATTTTTCATAGGGTCTAAATCAAGAAAAAGTGAAAATAGATAAAATGCTTCAATGTATGTGATATAGAACGAGAAAAAAAAATGGTGAGAGAAACAAGAAAAAAAATGATTTTTTTTTTCTGTATATTGAATGACACTATCGAACGATATATGAGAGTGAATGAAGAATGATAACGGAAGTACAGGAAGAAAAATGAAAAGACGTCGAAAACAAGCTCATAGAATTCCTACCCACGCGTATATTTCATCGTCCTATTAATAAAAAATAAGCGAAGAATAAATAATAGATGATTTTTTTTGTTGTAAACTAATATTTCAAAATTGTTCAATTTGGTCTGGATATATTTGTGTCTATTATGATCTATGATTTTATATCTATATGAAATTTCAATGTTTGGATATAAACCATCAAACCATAAAATTAAAAATAATTTCAAAGAAATAATAACAATAAAATCATTCTCAATTGATCTTTATTTTACATATGTATTTACAATAAACATTTTTCTCAATAATAACAAAAATTCATTCAAAAATAAAAAATAATGAGATATATTTTCTATTGATAAACTTATAACAGTTATTAGGAGAAACTATTTATATGAAAATTGACATTTAACGTCTGTTGAGAATAAATACAATCATCAATTTCTTTTCGTCTATGTAAAACTAATAAACAAAATATGCAAAGATATATTATATTATAGTCACTATCTTCAAATATATATATATATTTTTAAAAAGTTTTCAATAAAAATATGGATTCATTTTTTTTTCTAATTTTAATACTAAAGTTCTTAGTTCAATTGCAATTGACATTCATTGAATTGAATAAATCATCAAATAACATCTCTAGTAAAAGAAAATCGTACTAATGACACACAAAGTAAATTCATCTGAACACTTCACATTTGTTTTTCTTTCTATAATAAAATTCTCTTAAGTTGTTGTGTTATGAAATAAAAAATAAACATAAAAGTAATACGAATTGTTTAGTTTATTGTAGTCAATGGAATTTTTTGATTTATTTTTAAAATAATTTCCTATTGACCCTGAAAATACGAGTTCAATTTGTATTTCTAGTCAATACTATACAAATAAAAATAAAAATTTTTGAATTTCAAAAAGAAAACAATAAAACTATTTGTATTTTATTATTTTCTTTTTCTTTAGTTATATAGTTGCAAAAAAAAGAAATCATCAAAAGTATTGAATTTTTTTCTTCTTTCTTATCGTATA